GGGGGAGGCCCTCGACAAGATGGACTGACATGGTGGCTGCAGCGATGGGCTCAGGTATAGTAAGGACTGGGAGGCTGGCACAGGACTGGGCACTATTTCATTGTTATACATACAAGGTCGCTGTAAGTCAGAGATAACTCGATGGCACATAACAACAACAATCCTGTTAATTTTTATATTGATTATGTGTTAAAATGATAAAATATTGGATATACTATTAATGTACATTATTAAAATTAATTTCACCTGCTTCATTTTACCTTTTAAAACCTGGCTACTAGAAAATTAAAAATTATGTACGTAGTTCACACTCTATTCTGACAGGGCAGTGCTGCTCCAAATCTACCTACCAACTTATAGGAAATACAGATAAAGAAGTTAAACAGCACTGTGGAGACAGTCAGCATAATCCACACTGTGGGAACTGTACAGCCGAATGACCCTGTTCCTTCAAAGAATAAAATGCAAGGGAAAAAACAAGACGGAACCAGGGGTGGGAGGGAAGAGGGAGAACAGTGTAAAAATGAATATATATATTCATGGACATTTAGTAACATTTTAGCTGCCTTTCAAATGTTTTAGATGTGGTCATGGTTTTAGAACTGTTTATTTTTTAAAAGATATCTTACAGTGATATCAACTAATGTGTTCATACATAGCATGATATGATGTTGGACACTCTCTCCAAAATAATCTGGAATAGGGAAGGTGGGCAGGGGGAGATGACGGAAGATGGCCAGGAATTGGAAGTGCTGAAGCTGAGTCCTGGTACATGGAATTCATAGCACTATTTTCTCCTCTTTTTTTGCAGTTGTTTGAAAACTTACATAGCAAAAAGCATTAAAAAATTAAATAGAAACTCCACAGAACAAATGCCTTCCAACCCCCCCAGTAACCATGGGGTGAGGGTGGAGGAACATTCCGGAGCACCTGGAAGCCACCTGCTTCCTGCAGCAAAAAGCCGGTGCTCTAGTCTGCAGATGAAGTGTCCCCAGGTACAACCATACTCTTCCCAAATCGCTGTCTGTGCAGAGAAACAACCTCCTGCAATCATCATCATCATCAGGTCATTCTACGGGGAGGGGCTCCGGTCACCACCTCAGCAAGAGAAGAACCGATTCAAGCCCCGAACGGGCCCAAGGCTGGCCACCTCAGCAAGAGAAGAAC